CAATGTGTGTGGTGTGGTGGTGTATTTAATTACGGCAAAGCACACTAGGGCTATCTGCCTAAGGGGAGGGGTGCCTTCGTGGAGGACTTTCTAAGGGAAACTGGCTCGTATACACGTTACACATGGGGAAAACCACGAAAACACCCATGCAGCCAGCCCGTTCGCGGGATTCGAACCTCGGACCGAACTACCAGTGTTCAGCGACTTTACCGCTCGGCCGCTGGTGGGCCCATAAAAACAAGGACACAATAGCAATTATAAATTCAAAAGATTCAAAAGAATAGTACTAAGAGCTGTTGATGAACTATTACATATAAAATATTTTAATATCAAAACTAATAAACATGATATCTTAAACGTCAGCTATAAAAACAACTTTCACATCTCATAAATACTTATGTCGTTCATCATGAAGTCATAGAAAGTGAATTAATTTCAGTGATGCCATGTATCATATAAAGACCAGTAATTTAACCATTAGAAGCATCTTCTGTCAACTTTTCTTTGTCTCGAAGTGCCACTATACTCCATTTAAGATTCACGCTTTTGTTTCACTCAAAATTTGTCAAATGCAATTTTTGGTTACCTGTGTTTTAAAATGAGACATGGCATTATCACTGAAAACAGTTTATAATGGTGACAGTTACAGCTTTATAATGGTCACATCATTATCATCGCATGATGAAAACTTTTCACCTTATCACATTTTCCACCGATTCCGTGGATCAGAGAACTTAAGTAATTTTTCTTTCTTCTTCTGTTCTGAAGACATTTCTTCAACAATTGTGTTTTGTTGCTGTTCCTGGGTTTACTGTAATTCTTTCTTGTTCAGTGTATTTCCTTAGTGCCCTAGCAACTTCTCCATATCTTCACTGTTAATTTCCTAGTCCATGGCTTTGTTTAGAGACAAAATATCATACATAAAAAAAAAAAAAACAAAAAAACAAAAAAAAAATTTTGTCAACTTGAGTGTTCTTAACTCAAGACAGCACTCATCAACAGAGGCATTTTTTATTTAGATAATTTGTTCATGAACTGAAATGCTCATGAAATGAGACACTCAAGGTCTAGTATGTGGATCTCAAGAATTTTAGCATCACATTCTATATAAATCCCCTTTCATATGCTTAGAGTACCTTCACAAAAAGACAAAACTGTCTTAAACGCTTTAGAAGGTGTATACGTGCAACAGAAAAGCATGCTAAAAGAATAATTGTCATTACTCTGAAAATCTTGCCATGATTTTTTAATAATACTCATTCATTTGATGCAAAAATTAGTGAATCGTGAATAGGTGTGATGTAGGTTCCAGAAATTTTAACATCATGCTTTATATATGGCCTCTTTGTGTTGTGTGTGTTTTGCTGCTTTAATCATTTTCAGTGAAAATATTAATTGCAATTGATCCTAACTTAGTAATCTTTTCTATGAAAAGGGTGACTGCACAGTTTAAAAGTACATACAATTTTATTCATTGGTCCATAGGCCTCAAGTATACTATACGTGCATGAATTTTCACAAGACAAACTTTGCAGAAAGAGATAAATTTTTCTTTGAAACATACTGCACCTTTTATTTGACATCTGAAGACTTCTAAGTGAAATAATAATACACAGTTTTACAAAAATAAGACGTGTAATCAGCCCTAGTGTGCTTTGTCGTAATTAAATAAAATGAACTTCTTTGAAATTTACATATTTAAGATGGCTGAAGTTATTAAAATATGTACTTGTGGGAAGTATACCCTTTCAAGCTGCAAATCACCATGTCAATCCTTTCATGTGCAAAACATAACTCACTTTCTAGGATGATATACATGCAATAACTGAATTCATTTATGTCCAAACTGGGCAAATAAAATATAGAGACTTTGTTATCAGATAAAAGAGCAAGATTTATGCCTTCAACTCTCAGTTAATTACCTTCTCCCTATAACAACTTTTAAAAAATTTGAAAACACAGGTAATTTTGTAAAAATCATTACTAAATAAAAAATAAACATTTCTAAATTAAAATATTTGAAATATTATGCAGGTAAACCTCAGCCTCTTAAATTTCATTAATAAAAGAAGTCAAACAAAGAAATGACTAAAATTGTTGTGACTTTGGAAAAAAGACCCAGGCTTAGTTTTATCACTGCCTTTAATTTTAAGGTAAATTGAAATTTTTTGTCCATTGTTTTAATGCTTAAACATTCATAACTGAAAAATTTGAATAAACATTATTTTTTAATATGCTAACTGAATATCTATTTTGAGATCATACATAATGTTTTATAGGTTATGTAAATTTGACAATTTTTTGAAAAATATTAAAAATTCAAATGTTTAAACACATTAAAATTACTTGAACTTCATATTATACCAGATTTGCAGAATATGCAAGAAAAAAGTTTAAAAACTTTATTAAAAGTCTGATATGATCAAATACACACCAGGTTTGATTGCCATTATAAAGCAATTCCATGCTCTACTTTTAAATGACTGCTCATATGATTTTTAGAAAACTTGGCACTTTGGCATAATTTTAGGCACAGAATGAAAATATGTAAAGAAGATTAGCAGGAGATTTTAACAATAATTTATTTTTGCTGAAAAATGTACATAAGCTCAATGCTGTGTTTCAATCTAATATAAACACTTGCATAACTTTTTGAGAGATGAAGTTCAGTTTTATCAATTGCTGAATAGAAAAAAAAAAATCAGAAAACTATTATCTCCTCTTTTTTTGGGGGGGGAAGCTCAGTGTACCTACACCAGGCAATGGAGGTAAGCATAAGTTTAAAAATACTGTTATGTAGCAATCATCGCAGGATTTGATGCAAACCAACAAAAATGTAACACTGTTTTAGAGGGAAATCATGCAATTTTCATGGTCAACATAAATGATAAAATGTCATATTTAATACACAAGGAAAACAATACAGCTACTAAAAAAAGGCAATATAAATCAAAACTACTGTGGCCATGAATCATGTAGCAGGGATTTTTTTTTTTTTTTTTTTTTTTTTGTTGTTTATTCTCATTGTGTTCAAACAGCACAGATTTAAGGAGGCATAAAATTACTTTTAAGTAAGTAATCAAAGATAATATACTGACCATCCTTTTTAATTAACTGCTTGATTTAATTTTGCTATATATACATAATTTTATGATAAAAGGTAATAATAATTATAATTTAAGCATTACATTTCATAGTATAATTACCATTACAATGAAGTCTAATATAACAATCATTACAATTTATTATAATTATTCACCAATAATAAAATAATCATTGCAATAATCCTATAATGAATAATTATTACATATCTTTATCTTTGAGCTAACATATATCTACATAAATATACACCCATAAAGAAAAAGAAATTTCCCAATAATTAGTTTCAATAATTATATGATAATAAATGATAACTATGATTATTTAATTATAATAATAATTATATTTCTTTTTGATTTTGGGGCTAAAATCTATATGCATTATTATACATACTGAAGTAGTGAAGGAAAAAACCAAATTGATTTTAGGAAAAAAAAAAAATCTTGAAAATACAATACTGGTAAATGTCACATTAAACTGACTATGATCTACAAAGGCTTTACTCAGATAAGGTAGATACCTATTTAAATTTTTTTTTCTTTAACTACAGAAAGAATATTTCTGCTACAAAGGATAATTCCATTATTTTCAGAGATCTTATTTTTAAAAGTAAGCAATGAAATATGCACTGTTCATGTAAAACTCATATGCTATGAAAACCTTTTTGGTTTCCTAATATTGCACATCAATGCAAACATTTGCTTTTATTTCTGAAAAAAAAAAAAAAAAAAAAACAATGTGAAAGATAACAGGATCACAAGTAAAATTGACACTTTCCCTCTTGCAGTAAAAGAATGAATTTCTCAGAAAGAATGAATTCTTATGTAACCTTTCAACTTGCAGCATGTAATTAACACCCCTTTTGAACAATCCTAAGTTCTTTGGCAGAATGCCAGCCAAGGTTGTGTTTGACATTGTTGAACTACATTGTGATGTTAGGATTAAATAGCAGTCTGCACATTTTTTAAGAACATATCAGGGCTAAAATTAAAGTGATATTTTGCATTTACAAATTAAGGGGAAAAAAGGAGGGGCGTTAGAAATGAAGATCCTTTAAAGAATATCAAGAGATCACAAAATCAGTCTGAACATCACTAGGATGATTTTAATTATAAGGTTATTAATCTTTAAGTATACATTACTTTTAGCAACACCAATTTATTTATAAACTGCAATTCTTCCTAGATAGTATGGCAGATGGAAGACAATCCGTTGTACCAGCCATATATGTTGCACATTGTACAAGCTGATGATATGTACCAGGCTATTTTCAATGTCGCATGGGATACAGAGGCTAATTTTTTATGTACCAAAGTCATTTAGTCAACTTTTCCATCAGCAAGGAACAGAAAAATTGCCAGGATATGCCATTTCCCACTCCACATTAAGGGTCAAATTTCAAATCCCCATTGTACACTAAATTTTTAGCAGCCTTATTAATGTAGTGAAAGCATGGAATGTACATGTCCTACTTCCCAGGAAAAGTTAAAGGTTGATAAGTACCATTAAAAAAACTAATTTTTCAACTTTTGTTTCATAACCGCCTTATAACTCTTCTAATAATGGGATTACACTACAGAAATTCCAGAAATTATCCAAACGACATCAATACTTCAAATCAGATATATTATAGATCAACATTTAAAAAATACAATATGAAACAGTTCAGATGGCAAAGTAAAATTTTCCATGGGAGGGGGAACTTAGAGATGCATAATAAGATACCTGTAAATAAGGAGCTGCTATATATATATAAAAAAAAAAAATTAAAAGGTAGAAATATGCAAGAAAATAAATTTTAGTATTAGAAAGTAATTAAATGAATACACTAAAAAGAACATTCAAATCTAATACCAAAATACATTTTATTTAATTTAGATGTTAAATAGAACTGCACATACTTGATGTAGTTGATGTAATCAAATTCAGATCGATAGATTTACTTTTCTGTTCTATAATGTGTTCTTCTCCAACTGCAAGACCTAATAAACTTGTCCATACATCAAACATATCATCAGTTATAAGACATTCATCTAACTGAAATTTTGGGGCATGTACCTTTAATAACAACAAGAGCACTTTTTTAAAATTTCATTAAAAAGAAATTATATAAGTAATTTTTATAATTTACTTATTTTTGTGCAGATTTGCAGAAGTACTCTAAATAGAAATAAGATAATTTATGTTATGCTAAAAAATAATTTAAATATAAAAAGGAAACCATCATTCAATAAATTTAAAGATTATGAGATATGCAAGTTTAACTCCTTTAAATAAGAAACATGACATCAATAAAAGTAAAAACTAACACTTTAGACTGAGAATCTTAGAATAAGATATGACCACTTTTACATAAAAGGCTCTGTTTGTATCGCTTTATGCAATAGTAGAATTAAGTTTGGTTTGGTTTGGTTTATTATAGCAAACTCAGTAGGGCTATCTGCCTAAGGGAAGAGATGCGCTCGTGGAGGACATGCTACGGGAAACTGGCTTATATACACACCATACAGAGGAAAAGCCACAAAAAAAAAAAAAAAAAAAAAAAAAAAAAAAAAAAACATGCAGTGAGCCCATTCATCTGGAATCGAACCCAGGTTGGAACTGCCAGTTTTCAATGATTTTATCACTTGGCCACTGGTAGGCAATTAGTAGAATTAACGATTCTAAGAAAAATGAAATATTTATAAATATCATGTCAGTATTTACATTTCTAAGCTTCCAATCAATTTGACTGACATTGCTGCAGGATGTACACAGAATATAACAATTTAATGTTATTACAAGATAAATATATTATCTTGAGATTTACAGCAAATTTATGACACAGACATAAAAATACAAACATATAATGTCTCTCTATATAAAATTTCATGCTTTGTAGAGACATTAGGTAATTTTTGGAAGTGGAAGAGATGAAAAATTAACAATGCCTTCGCCGGGAATCGAACCACGGATCTCTGGAATACACACCCAGGGTGCAGACCACCACACAATGAAGGCATGCCAAGAAGGTGGGAGAAATACCTTACATACTCCCTCTTTTAAAGGGCAACTAGGTTTTTTTTTTTAGGGGACCCAATCGCCAAACCCTAGGTGAGGAGAATCATCATCCAACACAATTTTAGTTCGGGCACCACCGTAGAGACATTAGGTACTTTTAGAAGCAGGCAAGATGAAACGCCTTTGCCGAGAATCGAACCACGGATCTCTCAAGTACGCGCAGAGCTTGCAGCCTACTACACCACAAAGATTCCCTAAGGCATGAGAAATACCTTATAGCTTCATAGTTTATTTTACAGTATGTGTTTTTGCAATCAGTAGCTAGATCAACAGAGAATAACAAATAAATATTATTTATGAAGTTATAGAACAAGCTCAATAATTATGAAATTTTTTAAATTCCCAGTCAGCCAACTTGCAAATGATACCGCAAAACAGTTAAATTTGCAGATTCAGAGATAAATATTTGTCAATACTACAACTCTTGTGGCCAATTTCATGATCCTCATGGTATAGCATGATTCAATAAAACCATCCTCTGCAGTTAAAACAACATTAAAACAACATAGAGGTCCAAGTTAATACATACAACAAAGGCATTCCTTTCTATCTCTTAAGACAGATGATTTGCTCCCACAAAATCACATATTTCTCATATATTTTTTTCCCATTTTTCTTGCAATCATTTCTCACCTAATGGGAGGGGCGGCAGAAAAGAGGAGAGAACCTTGAGAATGAACAGCACAACATTTAGATTTAAATTACCTTTTTGCTCAATTTAAAATTTTTCATTTCCCTAACATCTAATGCATGATTATCATCAGCTGCTTAAGCTTATATATGCATTTAACCAAAACAATTCCTTAAATGTTAAGGAATCTAAAGAATGTAGTAACAGATTAGCTGATAAAATGAATATCAACGTTTGCAGCTAAGAAGTGACTCTCAGTTGTCATATTACTGGACTATCAAAAGTAGGATCAATTTCAATAGGAAAACCTACAGCTCAGCAAGCATACAACCTAAAATGAGTAACAAAGTAATCTCAGTAACAAAAAATTAAAAGCAACAGTTCTCAATATTGCTCCTCATTCACCACTGACACCACAAAAATGGTTAAAAAACAAAAGGCAACTGAATCATTTTTGCAATGTAATTTTTATTAATTACTGGTTGACAACTTCAAACAGATGCATTATCCATTGCTTATTGGATTCACTTCCATCCTATGCATATTTGAGTTTATTCAGTGAATGAGCTTGAATAGATGGTAATTAGTGTATTGCAAATTGGGATTTCGGTTTTAAACTTATCTAGTAAAATAATAACTAACAATTAACCCAATAAATAATTATAAAACAATAATAAAAAATTAATGCTAAATTAAAAATATTAATGCTATTTTGAAATTCTTTCTTTAAAATTTTTATAACTGACGAATTTTTTAACTTTTATAAACAGTTGATCCATATATTTACTTTGCATTGTTCATCAACAGCTTCTCAAGAGTAATCTTAATTTCATAAAACTGTGGGTGATATTTTTGATTAACACCTTTCAATTCAAGTCTTTCTCAAAACTCTCAGTACTTTTCTAGATTCAACTGATGTTCATGTCATTACTTTCCTGTGTATCATGTTCACTGTCAGTTTCTGCAGTTCTGTTAACACTTTCTGCAATATCATAGTCAGTTTTTACACAAAATTTCAATACTGCCATCAACTGACACATGGCCTATAAATGAATCTTCATAACTTTCCTCACTGATGTCTAAAACATAAGCTATGGCTTTTAGTTCCTCTGAGGCTTCTTCTACATAAAAGCCACATTTTCAAAAAAAAAAAAAAAAAAGTTTTTAACTACCTTTTAAGAGTTAGTTTGTATTTATTTGTATAATTCTACATTTTTTTTTTGGGGGGGGGGGGGGGGCTTCCTGGAAATAGGAAGTGGCTGATTTTATTAACCACCAGGTTTAACACGTATTTTTAAAATATCAAACAGTAATTCAGAAGACAAACAACAAAAATCAGCGTTATATTTACAAAATTTCCACAGGACTAGTTTCGATGGTTTTACTGAACCACCATCCTCAGCTGCAAAAACGCAAAAAAAAATTTTTTTTTTTTTTTTGGTTTTGCAGCTGAGGATGGTGGTTCAGTAAAACCATCGAAACTAGTCCTGTGGAAATTTTGTAAATATAACCCTGATTTTTGTTGTTTGTCTTCTGAATTAGTATTTATTCGGCGTGTTATCATGTCTTAATCAAACAGTAAATTTAGCTGTAATTTATTTAGACTAGAAGTATTCCATTTTTTTTTTTTTAAATCTTCCTAGAACTTCTTTCTTAGAGGCCTCACATTATAGTTATTCAGTCTATTTTTATTGAGGCAATATAGAAAATTTAAAGTCAATTTCAATACTGCTTTTAGAATAATTGTTACAGCCTGCATTATTTAGAAAGATGAAAAAGAGAAGACAAAATAATCTCTATAACACTTTTAGCTGCAAAGCCAAGTAGAATGTACTTTAGCATAATCTGTATTTTCTAGATTTACATAAAGGCAGCCTATTGCTAAGCACAATTACATTGTTTTCAAATTTTTTCAATCTAGAATTTCATGATAATAGATTATCCAGTATTTTGTCAGCTTTACTTGCAATACTGCATCTCTGGGTGCTGAAGTTACCATTTTACTTAGCATGGTAGATTGTGTATTCACTTTATACAGCTGTTATGGAAACATACCAACTTTTAATATCAATATGATTCTTGATTAATCATTTTGTCAACAATCTGAATTTCAATTATATTAATCCTAAATACAGTGTTTTCGAAAAGATATATCTAATGTGATATTGGTCTTGAAATCATCATGATAATCAGAGAAATCTTAGAAGAATGATGACCACCATCATTTGAAACATTAACTTCAGATTTTTTAACTTTTACATATAGTTATTGCATTCTGAAATACGCATTAACAATTCTGATTGATCTTAGATACCTTAATGTTTCAATCTATGCAACTACGGTCCTCAGCACTGCCTGTTCTTCCATACATTTCCTTAATTTTACTAACACAGAAGTATTAAAAGAAATTTGGAATGTGGAATTCTTAAGTAGAGATACTTTCAACATGCATGGTCTAAAGGTAAAAACATCCATCAACAAAAAATGTTTTCATTAATCACTACTATTCAGCAATAGAGTCATAAGCTAACAGTCAAAAAGGTAATAAACCTAATCTACAACACTATTTTGAATGATCTTGTGACCTAACACATTTTCACTGCAGTGGCAATTATGGGATGTTTTCATACCATAATCATTCATGATTATTATTCTACTTTAAGGATAATAATCCGGATTAAAAGAATTTTCACGATTTACGCTATTCTGGCTAATCGTTGGAATATGGTAACAGGTAGTTTGGCGACATTTTGGTAAGGCGATAAAGGTTACTAGCTAGGACTTTAGCAGTGTACATGGATAAAGTCAAGAATGTGTGCAATGCCATTTTTGTGCAATTCTGGGATGTTTTTCTAAGTGAAAATAAGTTGACGTGTACATGGATATCGTGTATGTGCAATTCTTATTTAGCATCTTCAACTCCCCCACTACATTTATATGACTATTCATGTCATATTCTTCTATATTCATGTGAAGCCGTTGTACGTCGAAAACGTTTCGTTAATGTCAGCATTTAGCTGTTGTTGACAAAATTTTGTTTCAGGTTAGGACAATTGACAGGATATGTTGTTGTCACTTTAATTCTTTTATTGGCATTGAAACCAAGTTTTTATATTACATTAAATTTAAATCATGACGTCATACGGATTAACTTGAAGCGTAAAAAGATATTGTTCCTTGGTTTTGGCAACCAAAATTTATTTACGAATCGGCTGTTGCTTGGATAGAATGAACTGATTTTATTTATATTGAGAAATTTGTATGCTTTTTCTTTTCAAGGTGTACATAGAACTCATAAATTTTGTTTTGGCCGTGACTGCTACTTATTATTTAATCTCAGATGCTTGAACTTTCATAAATACACAAA